ATATATATATATATATATATATATGAGATATATATACAAATATAGGATATATATATACAAATATAGGATATATATATAAATAAAGGATATATATATACATACACACACACACATATTAGGAATTAACTTGTGTGATTATGGAGACTGAGAAGTCCCAAATCTTTAGTGAGCAAGATCTGTGTATCCAGGGAAGCTGATACATAGTTCCAGTCTGAAAACCATCAGGCTCAAGACCCAAGAAGAGCCACTTTTTTGGTTTGAGTCTGAGGGCTACAGAAGAGCCACGTCCTGCTCAGTGCAGTTGGGCAGGATCCTCCTCTCCCTCTAGGGAGGGTCAGTCCCTCTGTTGTACTTAGGCTTTCAACTGACTGGATGAGGCCCACCTTCACTGGGGTGATCTGCTTTCCTCAGCCCATCAATTTAAATATTATAGTGATCCAAAAGCACCCTCACAGACATACTCAGAATAATGTGTGACCAAATATCTGGGGACCCTGTACTCTAGTCAAGTTGACACATATAATTCACCAATACACAAGCTGTCCTGGGGAGCATGCTTGACAGTCCTGCCTGAAAAGATCAGGGTCTCACTGTGGGCTCACGTTACAGGTGGTGTGTGTGGCTTGGTACAGCCACCCCACCTCCTCAGAGATAGTTGGAGCTTCAGTTCCAACTCCCACTATAGGAGGACTGCAAGGGGAAACCCGGCTGGGGCACCCATCACAGACAGCGGTCGCCTGTCTTCAGGGCTCTCTAAGACCCCTCCATGCCTGCCTACTTGGTGTAGCAGTCTCTTTTCTTCGTACTCTAGTTCTCTGATACTACACCTTAGTTTCAGCATCTGCCTCTGGCCTTCTCTCTCTTCCCCTGGTTTTGGGTCAGTGCAGCCTCTTTCTCTGGTTTGCTCTCCTCAGCCCATCCCTGACTCCTGCCTCTCTGGGATCCTCCGGTTCTAGCAGGAGCTTGCCTGGCCAGCCCCTTGCCTTCATGATAAGGCAGTAGCAGAGGCCACATGGAGTTGCCGACATTTGTTGCCTATCTTGCCTAAGCTACCTGCAGGGGTTGAGTTTGATTTGGCCCAAGAACCGTGACAGCATGGCTGGTGCGTATAGCTTTAGGAAAGGAGAGCTGAGGGTAGCCCCAGGTCTTGCTGTGCATGTCATGGGAGCCGGACAGTCTGCTTTGCTGGGCCAGTTGTGCAGCCCAGAGTTGAGCTTTGAGGGGCATGCCCATTGAGGGAGCCAAGGACCATCACCTCCAGGGGCCTAGGTGTGGCCGTCTTTTCATTCCTGGAGCCTGGTGTGTTGCTCTCAGAGAGTGAGATGGCAACTTTCAGCTGTCCGTGGACCACATTCATTAGTGGAGGTTCTTTTGACACTTGATATCTCCCAGATGGAGGGAACTTAGCGCTCTTTTTCTTTATCTTTTTTCTATCACAAGTGCACAGAATTTTAATAATCATACTTCTTGGTTCATGACACACTGACATCTTTAGTCTATTCATGAGATTTTTTTGTTGCATTCATTCATTCATTCATTCATTCATTATATTTTGAATAATATAATCAAGATTTACTATCCAAATCAAGACTAAAACACTCATCCAGTTTTAAATAATTAACAGAACCTACAACCCAAAACAAGAACTAGTATGTTAACAGACAATATGCATTATTATTATAAATATCAGAATATGAATTTATGCAATAGAATTATATACTATAATAGAATTTATCATTATGGAAATTAGAATAGTAACAACAGGTAATATTATTATGCACACTATAATGTTTTTCTTCTACTCACCTGAATTTTGTCTGTCACCATTTGCTTAAAAATTATGACTTTATTTCAAATATCTAATCTATATATCAATTTATCTCTCTATGACTAAATAATACATTCTTTACTTTTCCTAGTTTTTGAACTCCATTAAAAGAGTATCTATCTTATTGGAAGCTGGTCTTCTGAAACTTGCTCCTTCTTCTCAGCCTTAGGT